TTTGGTGTCTGCTGCCTGATCCAAGCTCAAGGGAATTTTAATGGGGCACCTCACGCTGTTATCAAAGTGGGAGAGTCCCAAGAAACTCCCATTTGATGGACATCTGAAATTCTTATTCTGTTTTGAGGACCAAATGCTGGGTTGTGCTCGAGTCTAGCAGGTTGCGTGTTCTGGAACCGCCCAGAGACTACAGTAAGCCATGTACAAGGGTTTGTAGAAGCTTCTCCTCTGTGATAACCTGGGGACAGGGTTAGCTGTGACTGCCACGCTTCCTCTCTTTGGAAGACTGCCTTCCCTTGGCAAGGTACGAGGGATGGGAGAACTGATGGAGATGCCCCAGAGCGAAGAAACCTGTATTGTTGTGTCTTATTTCTTCTCCTCAAAACGTGGCTTAAGGAACTTGGTCATCAGAGACTGGATGCCACAGTAAACTTCAGTATGTCAGCTCCCCAAGCTATAATCAATGCTGGGGCTTGAGACCTGTTGCCCTTTGGGGTGGCCATTCTCATTAAGTACTGAGAGTCAGCACTCCTCTCGTTTGATAACATGGGCTTCTTTGATGGGCAACCCACTTCAAGATTTCCCTTTCTGTGCCTCCCCACTTAAAAGCAGAAGAGAGAGTCTTGGCAAGTTTAACGGGTTTAACCGTCTGAAGGAACCTCGGTATGGAAAATTCTAATTTGTGCTAGAAATCTGTAGTAAATACCATTGGGACAAAGGCTTCCACAACGAGCGCAAACAGAACCATTGGAGGATGATGCAGGATTTTACTCCGCTGTACTTAGCGGAGTCAAACCAACTCAACAGCATCGAAGGAGAGCCCAGGATAGACTACAAATTTATAGTGGGGGATCAGACAAGACGTTGGAAAGAAATTATGTAACATTATAGGATTCTGAAATGTTACACCTTTTATAAGTTCTTACAGCAGTGAGTTTGAAGCACATGAGCTTAAGCGACAATCTTAAATAGGTGAAGTTTATAATAATATGTGCTGAATGCAAGTCACAAGTGTAGTTATTTTACCAGGAGGGGCATGAGTGTGCTGGGAATGTTGCAGATCTGTGAGACAGGTATAGGGACATATAAAATTCATAAAAATGTATGCAATATTATAGACTTCACTACCTGGAAGATACACAGAAACCGAACCTGCCATCAAGTTGAATGTGACTCAGAGACTCTATAGGCTCTCAACCTGGGGGTTGCGACCCCTTTGGGGGTAGAACAACCCTTTCACAGGAGTCGTGATTCATAACAGTAGCAAAATGACAGTTAAGAAGCAGCAATGAAAATAATGTTATGATTGGGGGGTCACCACAACATGAACTGCATTAAGGGTCGCAGCATGAGGAAGGTTGAGAACCACAGTGAATCCATGAAGGGGGAGGCAGGCAGCCTCATTTCTCTCCCATGGAGCAGCTGGTGGGCTTGAACCACCAACCTTGTGGTTATCAGCCCCCAAGTGCCACCCGGGCTCCATAGGAGCAATGTACAAGCTACACGAGGGGGCTCTTGAACATCTGTGGAAAAATGAAAAGATAATGGAAAGTTCCCATAAACTATTTGCAGCCCTCTCGTAGCTTCATGGAATAGTCTCTTGAAAAAAAAAAAACAAGACAAAACCCCAAACCAAAGTCATTAGATACCAAACTCCAG